TTTTGTTGTCTGAAATTCATCCATTCGCCTGCGTTACCACGGGTTCAAAACGACTGGTTACGAAGTGACGCGGAGCCGAAGATTTACAGAAAAATCGAAAAAAAATCTCCTAAAAAGAGAAGAACGCATAAAAAATGATTTTTGGACCGATTTTCTCACAAATTTTTTTTTGAATTTATATGATTTTCTGAGCAAAATAAAACAATCATAAAATTCTTATCACCACCTTCAAAAAACTTGATTTCAGACCGCAAACAAAGTGCTCGTGAGCCCCTTCTCATTGGTGTTTTCAATCCAAAAGATACGGTCTGGACGCCTGTTGGAAGAATGCCGAATCCGAAATCCAACTACGCCGTCGCCAGCAACAAAACTCAAATATTCATCGTCGGCGGAATGAACAACGGGTCGTGGCTTCAGAATGTGGAGATGTACGATAAGGATAAGAATTTGAGAAGAGATGTAAGCCTTTTTCCGATTTTGGTAGTCAATCGAAACTATTTTCTTTCATTATGAGCATTCTACACGAATTAAAAAGACGACTTTTCAGTGCAATAGAATGAAACACGGAAGAACTAGAACCTCTGCTGGATTCCACAACGGAAAGATGTACGTCGCTGGAGGATACGATAGCACCTACATGTCATCGGTGGAGATTCTGGATCCAGACCGTGGAGATTGGAAGGACGGGCCACCACTTCAGAGACCTCGTGCTGATGGAGCAGTTATTTCTTGTAATGGAGATCTTTACAGCGAGTTTCTATATATTTAAAAATTAATATCCACTGAAAATTTTTTCAGTTCTCGGAGGATTCAATGGTAAAGAATACGAAGAGAAGATTGAAAAATTGAATGATGCCTTTCAAAAATTCGAAGTCGTCGGTGAAATGCAAGGAAGTCGTGCCGGATTCGCAGCTTGTGCGTTCCGTGGAAGAATATACGTGGCTGGAGGATGGAGTAACTCTTCTAATACCCTCCGATCGGTTCGAAGCTACGATCCGATGACGAAAAGTTGGAAGGATGAACCATCTCTGAACAAAGATCGAAAATACTTTACACTGCATGCAACCAGCAGGCACATTTATGCCATTCGAGGATGTGCAGACAGTTGGAGTCTCATCAATGAGGTCGAGAAATACGATCCGGATACGAACAAATGGGAAGTTATCAGTTGTACCGGCGCATCTCCCGCTCAGAATACTTCTCAGAACTCAGCAACCAATGAACAAGCTCCCTAATAAAGGTGGAAGAGAAACTGTATACCACATTCGGTAGCATTGGCCGGCACATCGTCGGAGGTCGCCGTGAGCCTTTTTAATGTTTATAACAGAAATATAGGATCCTATATTTTTTAGATTCAACTAGTCGAAACGGGTACATCAAACTGGCGAGTAGGTATCACATCTGAACGAGTGCTCAATACCCTTCTAGAAGTGGCAATATGTGGAATTTGTCCGATCCCAGGTAATCATGAATTCTTATTGCCTATTCCTTTTTTT